GCTTAGGGTTTTTGGGTTTGGGCTTTTGGGATTATAAATCTTAAAGCCCCCCCATGGCTTAGAACGGCAAAACAAAAAAAACACCCGTTCCGCATCCAAGGGCTTAGGGTTTGTGGGTTTTGGGCTTTTAGGATTGGTCAATCCCCAGCGGGTAGAGCGCTGGAATCCTGCAAAAATCACCTCTTAACGAGCAAGCCAGACAGAAAACAAAGACAGACGGCTTGGAACAAACCCTGTTGAACACCGTCGAAAAACCTGGAAATACCACAAGACCCCGAAAAAGCACACCTCTCTACATCCCCAAGCCTACAAATCCCCCCCCCCCCCCCGGCTAGACTTCAGAGCGCCAAGGCTCCGAGACGCGGAGCCCGCCCGAGCCGATCCCGAGCTTTAGAAGTCGAGCTCGAAGTTCCCTCTCGCTCTCGTGCACCGGAAGCAGAGATAGGACGAAATCCAGGATTTCGTACCTGGGCTTTTTTTCAGTCTTCCGGGTTCCGTTCCCGGTTTGAGCGGATCTGAGGGGCTTTGTAAGGATTTCGTATCTGTGCGTTTGGGGCGTCTTTGGGGTTTAGGGTTTAGGGTGTTAGGCTTTAGGGTTTTCAGCGGTTTAGGGGTTCCTTTAAAGGGGTTCCTTTAAGGGATCTATAAGGGGTTCAGGCTATGGGTTTTAGCTGGCCTTGGACTCGGGCTTGCAGGGTTGGGGGATGGGCTAGGGGGCCAGGGGTTTCGCCGCTCCGGAGGTTTGCGCCGGCACGTTCTTCCAGGCTTCGGATGGCACAGCAAGTTGCACTCATAAACAAGCGGCAAACATGACCTGGAATTCAGCATCAATCAATAACTAGTCGTAATCAAACAAATCAGTTAAACAACACGTGAAGAACGAAACACTTCAGACTTAACCACACAAAAACAGACATATATATATATACACACACACACACATATCCGTACTTATAACTACACATATATTACACATATACATATACATCTGCAATTACATTGACACGTACATATGCGCCAAGATGCATTTTCACAGTCATGGTGAGGGCCTTATCCGACTTTGGCCAATTCACCGACTTGGCTTCCGGAGTGGGCTTTCCCAGATAGCTGCCTGGATGCAAAGCAGGTATTGGAAAATTCTATAAGCAACCTAAGGACCTAGCCTAAACCCTAAATCCTAAACCCTAAACCCTAAGACCACAAAAAGGTGGAAAAATGGGCCCAACGAGAGGCCTAGCTGCTGAGAGGAGTGACCTCGTAGCCAGCCTGGATAGCCTCGTCTCCGAGGCTCACTGAGAGGTTAGGGGTCTAGGGTGTGTAGGGGTTTAGGGCTTAGAGGCTGAGAGTTTAGGGCTTAGGGTGTAGGGGTTTAGGGCGTAGAGGTTTAGGGTTTGGGGCTTTTTTGATAAGTAGCGGTTGGGGAGGAGGTGGCGGGGGTGGGTGAGGGGTATGTTTGACCGGAATTGTGCAGGGACTTTCAGGTGATATGCCAAGCGAGTTTCAGACGGAGTAAGGCTCTCACCCAAAAGGGTACCATGTACTGTTACACGGGGGGGGGTGGGGGTACTTCCCTAAATCATTGTAGAAATTCCTGATATAGAAGCCTACATTCCCCTAAAACCTAAACCCTACACCCTAAACCATAGACCCTAAACCTGAATCCCTAAACCTTAGACCCTTAACCCTGAACCCTAAACTCTAAACCACAGACCCTAAACCTTAAACCCTAAACCTCAGACCCCCTGAACCCTAAACCCTAAACCCTAAACCTAGGCAGGGTCGCCTTCACCTTCTCGAGGTCCCCGGGCCCCTTGAGCTGCGTCCGAACCATGGCAAGAGCCAGGGGCGTCTCGCAAGAAAGGACCTTGTCCACCTCGCCGCCGGGGTGTGTTCTTTTGGGATTTCGGTTTAGGGTTTAGGGTTTGGGGCTTGAGGTTTAGGGTTTAGGGTTTAGGGTTTGGGGTTTGGAGTTTAGTGTTTAGGGTTTAGGGTATAGGGTAGAGGGGCTCAAGCTGTCGATCTGCAGTGACATGAGCCTTGGCAGGTGGGCCCTCGCCACTGTAGCTGCCGCCCTTCCACCCTGGGCCTGCGGCACCAAGCCCTAAGCCCCAAGCCCTAAAGCTCTTCAGGGTTTCGGGTTTAGGGGTTTAGGGGTTTGGGGTTTAGGGGTTCAGGGGTTGGGGTTTAGGAGTTTAGGGGTTTAGGGGCTTAGGATTATGGGGTTTAGGGGTTTCGAGGTCTAGGGTTTCGGGTCTGCAGGTCTGAACGCTGAACCCCTAGACCGTAGAGCCTATACCCTCTACCCCTAGGTACAAAGCACTTTTTCTGTGTCATGTGACGCCTCTGTCTGGGATAAGCATTGCTTTTAGAATTAAGCCAACCGAAGGGAGTTGATTCTATAATTACATTAAGTATACCCGCAGGGCCTGTGATCATGTACACTCCACCGGAGTTGCCAGTGCATCGAGTGCCCAGGTAGTCGAAGTTGTGTGTGTACATGTCAATCATCCTTTGCAGCGCGTGACACAGACCGAAATTCTGAAACTTTCAGGGATTAGGATTCTAAGCTTTAAGATGCGGGGTGTTGGTTCAGGGTCCAGGGATGGGAATATGTATGTATGTATGTGTGTATGTATGTATGTATGATGGTAAGGTTTGGTGTTTTCGACAGTTTCTGGTTGTAAAAGCCCTGAAGCCCATAAAATGGGACCCTGCAAGCTATCTGCACCATGAGCTCGAGCGGCTGAAATGAAAAGTAGCGATCCTTCTCCATGGCCGGGACTGTTATCACCACCGGTTCAGCACGTAGATCCAGCCAGGCGAAGGAGTATGGCGTGTCGGAGTTCGGAGTTATGATTGCCTGATCAAACCTACAAGTACCACCTGGACCCTCAAGAACCTAGGACCTACGTTTTTGGGGCTCCTTGTTCTGATGTCTTTACAAACGTCGAAACAGGTAGGTTATTGAGGTTCCGGGTATACACGGGGCGACGACCGAGGGTTTGAGGGCCACCTTGCCTTGTCCTCGGGCGTGAAGACCCGCGCAGTGCTGTGTATCTGATTGAAAGGCGCCTTGTATTCTGGATGCTCGACATCCTGGGTTGCTGCTTAATTAAGGAACTTAGGGGGGTTTAGGGGTTTGGGGTTTAGGGACTTAAGTTACCATAATGGCATCTACATGAAATAATTGGCTTTCCTCATTCTTGCAACTTAGTTTAGGTTCCTTAACAGCAGGCCGGCATCAATGCTGTATGCGTAGAGAGTGTTGTAGTTCTCACAAACAGGCCAGCCGTAAATAAACGCCTCTTTGGCGATGGCTCGCATTTCTGAACCGGAGAGTGCAGCGCTCATGGCTTCAGCGGCTCAAGCTCACACGAAAAAACGTAACCCATAAACCCACCAGTTGCCGAACCATGAAGTTCATTCATGTCATGACGCTGCAGAACAAGTCTGGCAGACATTGGCTTAAGTTAAAGCCAAAGCTGTGGAGCCACGCCCATGCAAAGACTGTTTGCTGTGCTATAGTAACAGTGCTTAACAATTGAGCTATCAAAGCACTTTCAATGCACAGGACTACGCACAGCTTTTCAATGAGTCTCTCCACTTCGTACACTGAAATTTCTTCAAACTCAATGTTTTCAATCGGACGACGAACCATTCGTGAACAGGGACGGAGTCTAATGCATCGAGAACTCGAGAACAGATGAACTTCCTTGCAAGAACTCTACTTTCGCCATCTCCATCATTTACACCCTAAACCTTAATCCCTTTGCTGGTTCATCCCGGTTACAAAAGAGAACCTGGGTCATGTAAGCATGAACTCTCGAACTGCTTGGGGTTTAGGGTCAAGCCGGCGTCAGCGGAACAGATACCAGAGAGCCACGGAAGCCCTCTCGGGTCTGTTCCGACACAGGCTCCATCATCTTGGTTACATGCCTTTGCAGTCTCTCTGGGATTCGGCGCAGGTGTCTCTTCCCCAGCGATATTCGCCAGATTCAGAACGCTCCGTGGCGCGGAAACAGCGGGGGATCCCCAGCACATACCTTGCCGTCCGGACCCACACACTTTCCATACACAGCTGGCATGATCAAGCCGGGCGGGCTTTGGGGTTGAGGGCCGTTTAGGGTTTAGCGTTGAGCATTCTGAGTTAATTTTTTTAAGTCCCCCCCCAGCAATGTGTGCCCCCGTACTAACTTGCATGACCAAGATGCAGACAGTGGTGTTCACGAAGCACGCAAGCGCGTCTAGTACATCTATAACACATGCAGACAGATGTGCATCTGCTGGATATATAGAGAGACAGAAAAAGAGAGAGAGAGAGAGAGTGAGAGCTGTGTTTAGGTCGTAGAACTACAGGTGTGTATATTGTTTAGCCAAGTCTAAACGTTGGACCTGGTGTTCAACATAAGCCCGTAGGTCGAAACTGTCGAACCATCATAAGAGAGTATGGAAAGCTGCAACGTCCCACATCGCAATTCATTCGGTGCAATATAATCCGGAATCCCGTTTTGGGTTCCAGCAGAAGACTGCAAAACTCACTCCGCAGGCTTCTCTTCCATCGGCTGGTCCTCCTCCGCAGGCTTTTCCTCCGCGGGCTTCTCTTCCGCAGGCTTGTCCTCTGGGGGCTTTTCCTCCGCAGGCGCATCCTCTGGGGGCTTTTCCTCCGCAGGCGCGTCCTCTGCAGGCTTGTCCGCTGCAGGCTTGTCCTCCGTGGGCTTGTCCCGGCTGTCCATCCGAACACTGCAGTCCTTGAGGGCCGCGTCAAAGAGATAAGTTCAAAATGCGACGCAAAAAAAAAACCTAGCCCACTGAACCAAAAATGGCCCACCTCCTGGATGTGCAGAGTCATGTCAGCATCGTTCGCCTTGATTGTCTGAGTATGAGCCGCAACGGAGGTCTACACTCTGAACTGCAAGGGGTTCCGGATGCCTAGGGCTTGTAGGGTTGAGGGTCCAAGATGATGGGAATAAGCCAACGAGGAGAATGGCTAACCAGACGGTGTAGGGGCATGACAGATTCGACGCCCGGTTTGGGGTCCAACATTGCAACATTACATAGGGACTGTTGTAAGGAGATACGACTACTTGATATTCCGACTCCGATACCATATGAACCCTGAACCCAACTCGATCCCCTGTGGAACCTGTTAAGGGGCCCTAACAGCACACTTGTTAACCGTTAACCCTCTGAAATCAGCCCGAACCAGCGTCTCGATCCAAAACCATGGAACATGGGAGCAGGGGAGTCGCATAGGAAAAACTTCACTCACAGAGCTTCGGGCAAAGGGGTTTAGGGTTGGTGGGTTGGCGCTGAGGGCTTAAGGTTTAGGGCCTAGGGCTTATGGAGATTTGGTAAAGGCTGGAAAGGGGAGAACCCGAATGTCTTGCAAACCCTCCACCTGCCTGCTCAGCATTTTCCAGTGTGAAGAAGCACGTCCGCGGCCGCCGGTGGATGCGCTGATCCTGACAATTTACCCAAACTTGCCCTAAACCCGAAAGCCCACAACCCCGCAACCCTGCCAATGCCTAAAACCAAAAACCCCTGAACATCGGGATGATATGGGTTGAGGGTTCAGCACCGCAGCTCAACCCAAGTAAACCCTAAAAGTTTTTGTGTGTTTGGCTTCAGGGATAGGGTTGATTGAGGGTTTAGGGTTAAGGGTTTAGGGTTGATTGAGTTTAGGGTTTAACGAAACCCCCGATGGCAACCCCTGAAAGCCCTGTAGAGCCGAGTCTACTCTTCCCCCAGCCCCGCAGCAGATCCCTTAGTTAGTCGATAGATGGCCGGCCCGGGTCCTTAGCTCCGGAAAGTTAAGCCAAAACCCAGAACCGCTGACTCGCTCGCTCTCTCTGTCTCTCTGTCTCTCTCTCTCTCGCTCTCTCTCTCTCTCTCTCTCTCTCTCTCTCTCTCTCTCTAAAAGCTTTAAGCATAGATAAGTAAATAAATAAATAAATATGTGTATATATAGATATACACACCCACTGATTTGCTTCTTCTTCTTCTTTCTACAGTTTTTTCTAGTAGATCGCCTAAAACCATAGCCCTGGACCCTCAACGGCTAACATCCTGATTCGATACCTGAAGCCTGCCTCAGCGTAATGCCCTGTAATATTCCTTCGGTATATGCCTGGTCATGAATGCGCAGTATGAACCTCTGAATCTTGGCAGCTCCACTAAAATCATCCTGCACAGATCGTCTCCAAGTCCTACGCGGGTGAAATCCTCACGACTCCTTGTATGGCTTGTCATGCCTGAAACGTGTCCATCTTCGCGATCCTTGCAACGCCTGAAAACTCCGAGCTGCAAACTGCAAACCATCATGTCAGGTAAATCGATGACCCGGCTCCCAGAAAGCTCGGCTATAGCACCTCAACTGTGATATGGGCCTCTGCAGGATCGCGAACTTGATGCTTTACATCATCATCATCATCACCACCATCATCATCATCTTCATCGTCACAGCACCATCACAATCATCACCGTCACCAACCTCACCATGACCATCATCATCACAACCACCATCATCACCAATTAGATCAAACTATTCCCTGAACGCCACTTCCTGGGCCGTTACACCACCGCCGTCCTCCGGCAAGACCAAGCCCCTCTCTTCCACGTGTGCCTTGCGCTGATCAGGTAACGACTTTCGGAGAAAAGCTATCAGACCGCACACCCTGAACCCTAAATCGTGGCAGCTGTATAAACCCTAAACCCTAAACTCTGAACCTTAAACTTAAACCCTAAACCCTGAACCCTAAACCCTGAACCCTAAGCACTAAGCCCTAAACCCTGAACCCTAAACCCTAAACCGTGGCAGCTATCAGAGCTGAGATAGAAACTTGCCGGGTTCAGGCTTCGGGTTCTTGTAAGCATTTCAATATAATTAGGGTGGTTGCGGTGTCATGTAGTGCAATTATGATCAGGAGCTCCATGGACTAGTATTGCTACATTATGCAGAACTCTGCATGGCTTGAGGGCTGTGGATTTAGAGTTGTGGGGTCATCCTAAACCCTAAACCCCGAGAGCTGCAAGGTTTGAAGGGTCGAGGATCTTTCGTAGATGCCACCTGCACCACCAAAGTGGCCAAAATACGTAACAACAGCAACAACAACAACAACCACGACGACGACGACGGCGACGACGACGACGACTGCTGCTACTACTACTACTACTACTACTACTACTACTACTCCTCCTACTCCTACTCCTACTCCTACTCCTACTCCTACTGCAGATCCGTGGTTCTCACCTTCCACAGCGGCCCTTCCCATGCCGCTTGGAGAAGTCAGGGCCTCTCTGCCCCGGAGTTCGGCACTCTTTAGGGCGCAGCATTATCACTACGATGCTTGCTGTTCTTCGTATTATTAGTACTACCACTGATGATATAAATCCTGCATGACCCATAATAAGGAATATACCATAATTCCCTAATAGTTTAGGGTCCTTAAGGTAATGCAGGTTTTTATACTATATCATCAACAGCATTATTGCTTTTACTTCTATTCTTCTTATTCAGGCGGCATAGGGATTCAGGGTGTGGAGTCGAAACCTGTCGGTGCTGTCGATGGGAAGTTGGAAACTGCATGCAATACAGGCTGAAAGCCAACTAAGGGCATCCTAAACCCTGACCCCAAGCCCCTAAACCCCAAGCCCCTATAAACCCTAAACCCATAAACCCTAAACCCTAAACCGTCCAATGCCCTTGCCGCCCTTGACACCCCCCCCACCCCGCCCCCCAAACCCTAAACTCTAAACCCCGTCGCCAGGTGACTCGCAACAGCTTCGTCATTTGGACGGCAGTTTTGGCATCGTAGTGGTGAAGCGGCCGCTGGGCGACCATGACTTCCGGATTCCTCGCCACTGCTATCATATATCATATATTGTATGTTATATACAATACTAATAATATAGGTTATACATTGCATATATATATATATATATATTCTAAGCTAATGTCGAATGGCGATCGTACCGCTGCCACGGACTGTTCGCATTACTGTCACTGCGATCACAGCTGTTGTGGCGGTCGCTGTGGTGGTGATGGTAGTGCTGGTAGTGGTGGTGGTGTTGTTGTTGGTGCTGGTGGTGGTGGTGGTGGGGGTGGCGGCGGCGGTTGTAGTAGTGGTGGTGGTGGCGGCGGTGGCGGCTGTGGCAGCGATAATGGTGGTTGTAGCGGTGGTGGTGTAGCGGCTGCAGCTCATATGCTATTGCGCTCAGATTCGAGAAAAGGTGGAAGGGACCTCACAGTGGATTTGCGACGGAACCTGAGTGTTCAAAGAACCTTAGCGCGAATCAGCTAAGGACACAGAGTCAGCAGCATGCGAGCACTCTTCAGGTGCTATAGATATAGAAATAGACATATATATATATAGAGAGAGAGAGAGAGAGAGAGTGAGAGAGTCATCATATAGCAATATATATGTGTCTATACACTTAAACACGTATACATCTGTCAATTTCTTTGCTTCACTCTTACTTGTTGATCTAATTACTTGTCTGTCTATTGGTTCAATGCAAGGTGACCAGGGGTTCAGGATGGACGGCCCGGTCTCTGTGGCCCCCAAATATCCGAAAACCCAACACGCTGATACAAAAAAGGCCCGGCCTTTGATAGGTGTAGGGGCCCACAACTCTAGGGCCCAATCTTCAGAAACCCCTCCTCCAACCCTTACTCCCACACGATTCAGAGCAATGGTCATGGTGATAATGATGATGATAAAGATGGTAGTAATGGATAATGACGAAACTCATGATGGCACAGCCCCAAGAAGTAAACTTATACAAAACAAGGTACATGATCCCCAAGCCCTGAACTTGTAGAAACAAGGTACAGCCCCAAGCCCTAAACTAATACAAAACAAGGCACATGATCATGGCGCGAGCAAGATTGATCCTTGGCATCTTGCGGCAGAGGTTCGTTGTGGAAGGACGGGGCTCGGCCAGTCAACGTTAAAGGGTTCAGGGTTCAGGGTTTAGGGTTTGGGGTTTAGGCTATCGGGTTTAGGCTTGGTTTTACAGGCTTTTCAACGAGACACTCAAACGAAACGATGTCCGCAGTACCTCTTGCCCGGATTAACCTGAACAGCTACGGCAACTCGCGGCAACTTCCTCCCCCGTGCAAGCTTGAGTTTGCGACCTTGCAACTATGATTCATGAGCCGGAACCTTCAACTCAGCTTTTCGTCGAACTCGCACGAGCAAGACTACCCTTCACCTGCTTCCAAGTTGCTTCACCTTCTCTGTGTAGGTGATGCCATCCATCCACTTGTTGTCCGGCCTGAGGATCGCAGGGCTGTGGGTGTCCAGGCAGCACCCAAAGGAAGTCTTCAGAGGAACGAGACATCAAGCCTCAACTCCCACAAGCCGTGCTGTGTGTGCCCCTTCCGAAGTCCGAAGGAATCGTTCCCGAGCCATCTGAAAGCACTCAGAACTTCAGTCCTTCGACGCCTAAACCCTAATTTGCCATCCCAGCCACGGCCGATTCCAGGTATCTCCCGCCGCCCGGCGTCCCTCCCTCGCCACGCGATCCAGGTCCTTCCGGGCCAGGGTTCAGGGTTTAGAACTGGGCTTATCAGCATGCTTGATGTTAGCATTGTTGCTTCTACTGTGTTGCAACTCGTCTTACTCTTGCCTTTATTCTGAACCCTAGACCCTGAACACTAATTCAGCCCTATACCCAAAGCCCTGGGAGCCCTCATAGCTTCCAGTAGCTTTGACGTCCTCCTCGATCAGCTTCAAGGTGGCCTGCATCCCCATCATCTCGAGGATTGTGCGGATCCGCTTTGGGACGACGGGTCGGTCTCCGACGCCGAAGACCAGGTTCACCCAGGCAGAAGCCTCTTTGGGCTCCGGGGAATTTGGCTCAGCCTTAAAAAGGAGCCCCATTATGGAACCCTGTAGGACCCGCAACAAGGAACCCCAAACCCAACTTAAGGTTTCCAGGACAAACATCGAGGCCGTCTTTTGCCACAACTTTGCATGGCAACTAGGCGACTAGGGCTGCTTTGGGGCACTGATCGACATATCCGTATCGTCACCTTTCGCATTCATACTCTGCCGCTTTTGACATGGCGACATGCTTCTGAGCCCAAGTAAAGTCGATAGGTCAAGGTCACATGTGCATATGAGGTGCAGCTGCTGTCGTCGTATTGAATTGTTTTCGGATTGCTAGCACGCACATCGGTAGCCGTTACACTTTGCCTGACCGGGTAGAACATATATATATACATATATATA